GTTCTTCCTATCCACGAACAAGGAATATTTTTCCATTTATTGAAATCTTGAGAAGGAATTATTTTTAAAATAAAAAACAAGAAAACTCTGTACCTCTCCCAGATCATTTCCCCCCAGTCCTTTCCTACTGAAATGGTTCTGTACCAGTTGCTTTGGGAAAGGGATGTCACAGCCCGGGCTGTGGACACTCCTCTCACCTGGTTTGTGAGGGTGCTGGAAGTAAAGGGAAAAAAGTGACTTTCACAAGCCATCAGTGACACGCCAGGTTGACCTGAGATCTGAGGCATCTGGACAGGTCTAAGAGACCACGTCCATGGTGCACACTGGAGCACGGGACCCTTACAAAGCTCATGGTCTGTTCTGGGAATGAGGCCAGTTATAACCAGGCAATGGGATTTCAGGGATTTGAGGTCTTAACTTTGAGTCCCAAGATCTTTAAGGAAGCATGACAGTTTTCCAAGATGTTCTGAATCTTGGAAAAAGAAAAAATAATTTGGGCGATATTTAACTTTCAAACTTTCTCACACATTAAGTGTAGTTAGATTCATTACACATTTTTCTGTTTTCTTTTTCCTTTCTTTTAATATATAGCCACTCACCAGAGAGACCGAATCTTCAAACATTTTACCAGGAAGCGCCAAAGGGCTATGCGAAGGCGAGTCCACCAGATCAATGGACACAAGTTCATGGCCACGTACCTGAGGCAGCCCACCTACTGCTCCCACTGCAGGGAGTTTATCTGGTAAGAGACCCTTGGCTCCCTCTCCTGAGAGCCGGCTTCCTTTGGTTATGTGTGATAATCATCACAAAAGCATAGCATGATTATCAAGAGTCATTTTTAGGAACCAAGCTTTGTGTCTTCTTACAAATATGTGGATCTGGGAATTTTAATTCCCACCAACCCAACAACAGTCCCTGATTAATTTCTATATCCAAGTTTTAGATAATATTGCTTTTTCTTCAAGTCATGAACTTTCAAAAAGCATAAATCAGAGAAGTAAATTAGTCAATAAGGAGATAATTAGTAAATTAGGAAATCAGTCTGGGAGAAAGAAAAATCAGAAGTATTGCTTTTAAGAAGGCATTAATCATGTGATAAGTTATGAAAATTAGTTGTTACGAGAAAACTTAAGTACCCAGTACCTTCAGCCTAGAAGGTTATAGCTGTCAGTGGTTCTATACTGTATATAGAATAATTTAAATTAATCTATAATTTAATCCCTGGCCATTAGGAACTAACACAGTTGAGAAGTTACCTAGAAATTTGGATCAGTGTCTTACAATACGTAAAACTGAATGTTAGTTTTAGTGTCAAACCTATGGTTGACTTTACTTACAAACAATAGTTATTGTCCATTAGAGGCAGTATTAAGCATATTTTAGAAAGAGAATACATACCACCTTACACGCACATGCATGCACACACACAGCCATCTCAGAAGGGGAGACAGTGCAGGTCCATGAAGAGATCTGTGCTCCTGTTACATACTTTAAGCACGTTGTTTAAGGAAAGTAGAGTGCTTAGCTTGGAGTTACTTCTGAATATCGATCAACTTGTACTTCATTTTTTTGTGATTACTTTGGGTTTCTCCCCTTTAGTTACTAGTATTTCTGGCATTTTTAGCAAGAATAGAATCTTAAGGCCCTAAATGGACTATTGATACAAAGCATATGTGTGCTATATTATTCATAGTCTTCAGAAAAAAATTCCTCTTCCATTGTCTGAGAAAACGACCGCCTCTGGCATCTTGGGGCCTTGTCCCCTCTTGAGGGCCGTCTCTTCTCTCTAGCTTGCCACAGTCCCACCCCTCTCCTTCCAGTTTGCTTGTCCTGAGGGCTGCTGCCCTATTCCCTTTTACTTTGCATCTCGCCATTCTGTCTCCTTTTTGGGGTGTGACCTCCCAGGCTCCTGAAGGGGAATTACGCTGCCAACCTCTGACCTCGACACATTCTTGATAGAAACTTATTTTCTAATTTCTTTCAATTTTTTTCATCAAGGAAACATTAATTCCCTCTGACATGAATGCACACGCACATGGGCATGCACACGCACACCCACAAGCACACACACACCTGTGCGCACACACACATGCACACACAGTTGCCCCTCCACTTAAAATATTGATGTACGCCTTATGAGTATTCAGCCTCATCAACCTCATCCCCTGCGGGATGTGAATTTAAATTCTGTAGCCCGCTGGAGTCTTCTCATTTGCAAAACAGAGACAGCAAGTTTATTTTATTGGTGTAGTAAACTTTTAGAGAGCACTTAGGGTTCAAAGCACTTCTGAGCATTGTATCAACTCATTCTGTGTTTGATAACCCTACGAAGTAGGAGCTGTTACCATTATTCCCTTTTAGAGATGAGAAAACTGTGGCTTGAAGAAGTTACGATTTTGGCCCAGGTTATACCATTTGGCTTCAGCGTCTTCTTGTAACCATGTGTGCTCCCTCTTTTGGCTTTCTGTGAGCTAAGACATGTAGCAGCCACTTGACCAGGTGTCTGGTACAACCTACAAGCTTAGTCTAAACATGTGGTGTTTGTTAAAGAGCAGGAGAATAACATCACCGTCACCCACAGAATATATTAGGGAGCAGCAGAAATCAAAGCAGTGGGCAGGGAAGACACCTCATTGGCCGGCATTTCTGCCCGGTTGTGGGCCTCAGCAGTGATGTGGGGCACAGGGATGGGGGCCGCGGGGCGCCCATCAGCGTACTCTGTATGTGCGTGTGCACATGGGAGCCACGTGCAGGTAGGGCCTCTTTCATTGGGGACTCGGGGGATTGCCACTGATGCAGGCAGAAAGGCGATGATTGTTACTCACCCTTTTACATCACCTGGAGCATTTGAATCCATTAGATGGCATTCTTGTGTCTCTGGTAACAAAACAGGCTTCAAAAGGCACACGTCGTTGCCTCCTCCCTGAAATTACGTTTTTCATAAAGGACCAGGGGAATGAAGATTCTTTGTTTAAGAACTGTAATCATAAGAGGTTATTGCTGAAATACTTGACTGATGGCAATTTTTTTTCTCTATTGTTTTGAACAGGGGAGTCTTTGGGAAACAGGGTTATCAATGCCAAGGTAAGAAAACGTTTTTAAAACCATGTTTAATCTTGTTCTTATGTTAAACAGATAATTATACCCAGGGAAAACAGGAAATGTTCCATTAATATTGTGATAAATAATTGTCTGTAGGTCAAAGAGACCCTCCCATGTAATTATAAATCTTTAGTTTTGGTAAGTCTTGGCTATATTTTAGACAGTGTAGAGGAGGTGATTATATTTCTAAAGCCAGAATACCTAGTAAAGTTTCAGTGTCTAAAGTCTTGTCTTCTCAGTAACATGAAAGTGGTGCCGTGTCGTGAGCATAGCCTTGCATCTGAGACATATTTTTGTTTTTCACTTTGTATTGTCAAGAGGTGTGAAACAGCACGGTTCTGTTTTGACTTTACCTCCTTAGAGAATATAAACTATTATTCAAAATTTTTAAAGATTTTCCTATTTCAAAAAATCTCAGAACTGTTCAGAGTAAAGCAGTTAATGATCTTGTAGGTTTAAATGTGTTTTGATTTTGACAGTTGTAAGACAAAACCAGTTTTTAGTATTCCAGCACCACTGGATTACACCAATGTGTAATCAATACAACAGTAATAACTGACTTATATGGTGTTAATTCAGTCTTCAGTGAGAAGACAGGTGTGAGCCAGGTCAGTACTGCTCTGTAGCCTAGGCCTCCCTAGCACCAGGGACATGCCTCATAGTGACCTACTCATCTTACACGTACCAGCAAAAGTTGAGACACTCTGGACAGACAGCATTACAGTTCCGAGATTAAAATATATGGTTTAGAATATATCTCTTTAGTTTCTTTTCCTCTTTAGCTTATAGTGCTGGGATGTTTGATGTTCTGATATTAAGAGGCCCACAGGTGCTTAAAGATCAGGCAAGAGCATAAATCAGGAGACCTGAGGATACCTTTCTTCACATCTTGCTGAGGGAGAGCAAACCAAATGCCTAGTGGGAAAGAGGTATACTCCGTGAACACTGATCAAAAGCAAGCCAGAGCAGGTATTCCAGACAAAGCAGAATTCAGAGCAAGGAAAATTTTCGGGGATACGAAGAAAGACATTATGTACTAATAACTGGGTCATAACATTGCTTAACATATATATGTGTCTAACAATAGGCATCAAAATATGTGAGACAAAAATAGAGCTATAAGGAGAAATAGACAAGTCTACTATTACAGTGAAGGCTTAAATCTCCCAGTAATTGATAGACTCAGCGGGCAGAAGGTTGACCTAAAAGGCACTATCATAGTTTGATCAAATTGACATTTGTGGAACACAGCATCTGACAAGCGGATGATGTGTTCTTCTCAAGTTCACCAGGAACATTTACCAACAGAAGGCACTTTCTGTGCCATAAAACCACTCTAACATGTAAAAGAACAGAAATCATACAAAACATCTTCTCCCATCACCGTGGAGTTTAATTAGAAATCAGTAAGAGGAAGAGCGCTGGAAACCCCCAAAGTATTTGGACATTGAACAAATAACACGAGTCACAGGCAGAAGAGGACATTAAAAACATCTCTTGAACCCAATGAACCAACAAAAAACCAAATGCCTCAAAAAAGAAGTTTTTTCCATGTGAAGGTGGCTTTGAGATCCCCTTGTGTAAAAGATCTGTTCTGTGGGCTCTTGCAGTGTGGTTGTCCTGAGAATTGAATGTGGTCAAAGCTCGATCTTTCCTAAGGAACAGTGCTGTTCGCTCATATGTCACCTGCCCTTAAGTGCTTAATCCTTAGACCTTCTGTGTCTTGAGAGATCCTACCTGATACGCATTTTCATACTGCTTCATTGTATATGTTCATGTTTTAATGACAAGCTCAAGTCCATCTGTACTATGTCAGTTATCAGGATGGAAGTGAGGAAAAATATATTACTTGAAAAGTTCTGAGTATTCAGACAATTGACTAAGCCATGCAGCAAACATTTATCATATGCCTGCTCTGTCTGAGGCGTCCTGCTGAGAAGTCAGGGAGGTTCAAAGTGACAGTGCAAGCCTGGCATGGTGGCACATGCCTGCAATTCCAGCACTCGGGAGGCTGAGAGAGCCTGAGGCAGGAGAATCGTTATGAGTTCGAGACCAGCCTGGGCTACAAAGTGAGCTCAAGGCCAATCTGAACTACATAGCAAGACCCTTGTCTCAAAAAAAGACAAAGTGACAGTGCAGGTTAAGGCCGGAGCAGGCTCAGAGGTGGGAGTGATGGTTTGAGGAGAAGGCCTCATGTGGGATATTTTTGTAGAAGAAATACCTTTCGAGTTGTATCTTGTCATAAACTTAAGATTATGTCCTAGGCCTAGAGAAGCACTTTAATAGTGTGTAGGAAAGGGTGAAGAATCAGTTAGTTTAGTTTTGACTGGAACAAGTGGAAGAATCAGTTGGAAGAATCAGTTAGTTTAGTTTTGACTGGAACAAGTGGATCCCATGGGTAGCTTGGGATAGCCCCTGGGAAGCCTGAAACTTGGCCGAGGGATTTGAATGCTATTGATTCCAGTGAGATGCCACTGGAAGTGTTCACTCATGGGGCAGAAGTGACCATGATCATACTGTGGGCAGAGTCACCTGGAGGTCAGTACAGGTTGGAGCGAGGTCTGGGAAGAGGAAGTAACCTCAGGACTAGATGAGGGGTCGTTTGTGCATGGGCAAAGGAACCAGGACAGATGGGCGTGCTGGCTGCCATCGCGTGGGCCAGACTGGCGGTCAGGCTGCAGTGGCATGGGGACAGCCCTTGTTGATGCTGCGCTGTGAGTTTAGGTAAACGTGTAATTGCTGGATTTAATTTCCTAGTGTGCACCTGTGTCGTCCATAAACGCTGCCATCATCTAATTGTTACGGCTTGCACTTGCCAGAACAATATTAACAAAGTGGATTCAAAGGTAAGCGGATATTGGTTTGCTATTAAGCACCGACTGTGTGCCTGCGTGTGTGTGCGCACACGTGTGTATATGCACGGGCATGTACTCGCTTTTCTCCCCCTCCCTCCTCCCTCCCTTTCTCCTTCTTTTCCTTCCCTCCCCCGCTTCCAGCCCACATCCTTGAAGCCCATGTGGTATTAGAATGGAAATTTTTCTCGTTTTTTGCATCATAGCGTTTAACATTTCTGCTCTTGTCTAGTATGGCCTTGGCTTGTGAATGTCCCCTTGGTGACCAGCTGGGCATAAACTCCATGGACCAGTTCTACTAATGTGGAGATGACACTGATGGAGTGCGATGTCTGAGCACTGGACTGTCGATGCTAAACCCACGGTCTCTCAGTGCCTCAGTCTGGAAATAGGATCCATGCTTTCCTCAGGAATATTGGCAGAGATTTTAAATGAAATAGAGTTGACGAGTTTGTTGTTAACTCTAAGTTACGCTTTCTAAGTAAAGGCCATGGCTCCCTCCCGCCTCTTAAGAAATTCTGGGGAGGATACACAACTCTGCATAAAAGCTGGCACTTCACTTTGCCCACCCTCGTTGCATTTGTGCGGATGGGCACAGGTTTTAAGTTCTGGAGGGAGAACGCAGATGAGTGAGTGCCGGTGACACTCAGCAGTAGATCTGCAGATGCTTTTGAAAGTCTGACTGTGAACTCAGTGATTGTTCACAGAGTGAATGTACAGAGAGGTCTGCAGCGTAGCTTTTTTGAAAAAGAGACCAGCACAGTCTCAAGACGAGTAACGATCACCCCACTCCCTGTCGTGGATGGAGCTACTGTAATTGCTTCAAATTGTGAGGCAGAGGGTAGAGCACGTGGCTGGTGTCATCACTTGCTGGAAACAGGGTGTGCAGTTACACCAAGGCCTTGGGGTTCGTATCGTCAGAACAGAAGTGCCAGGCAAAGGCAGGAGAGGCGGAGTAAGACAGCAGCCTTCACGGTCACTTTGGGATGACTTCCTCCTGTTCCTGTGTGCTCTGAGTGCCTTCTTCTGTTTCTCTCTGAAACACAGCGTGAGTGTGTAACAGACCCATTTAATTTGCTGTCAAAGGTTCTAGGAAGTAAGTGTGAATATGAGGGACTCGGCAGGGAGAGAGCTGTGGCCCAAATGTGAGAGATGAAATGAAAGTCTTCATTTCTGTTTCTCTCCTCCAGCGAGCTAATGTGCACCCCTCCTTTCTGTCACGTCTTGTTCAGTCGGAAACGTGTGCAGTCCGGCTGGTGAGACCTGAGAAACTCACTGGAGCTGCATGCAGTAAAGTAATACGTCCAGCTCAAGTGTCACGGTCACACTTTGCCTTTGGTGGCTCCTATTACAGTTTTTATCAAGGGTATCGATAGGAAATTTTAGCTCTTGTGCTTTTGTGTTTTGTTTTGTTTTTTTTTACTTTTCCAGAATGCTGAACAGAGGTTTGGAATCAACATCCCGCACAAGTTCAGCATCCACAACTACAAAGTGCCAACGTTCTGCGATCACTGCGGCTCCCTGCTCTGGGGGATAATGCGGCAAGGACTTCAGTGTAAAAGTGAGGTGCTGGGTACTTGCTTCTTTACGGGAACACCATGCCACAAGTTTGTGGAATTCTGTAGGCTCAGAATCTGAGCTAGGACAGATAGTTGAAGGTGTATTGTAAGAGCTTCTTTGTAGTTTTATTTATTTATTTATTTATTTATTTGTACCAGAAATCGAACTCAGGACCTTGCGCTTGCCAGGCAGGCGCTTGTACCGCTGAGCTATATCCCCGGCCCCCATCTTTGTAGTTTTGTATTTATATATCCCTTATCAGGCATATAAAGAGGACCACATCTGATCCCCAGTTAACCACTGAACGTAAAGCCACATGTTAAATTCTGTGATCGAGTTAGCCAGATAACACCTGTTCGTCGCCAAGTGCAGATGAGGCATTGTGTTACTTTAGGTATTTGAAAGAAGAAAATGGGATGTTGACCAGAGAAGGCAGAGGTGACACGGCCGAAAGAGAAGGTTGGGTTATGAGTAAGGACTGGTGGGAGGTTTCAGGTCTGGTGCCTTGGTCAGGAACAGGTATGAAGTGAGGTGTCAGAGCACAGTGGGGCCGCCCTGGGCCCTCCCCAGGAGTCCTGTGGTGGAGGTTGGAGGCAGGAGGGGAGAAGAGAGCAGTGACACTTTGGCCCTGGACTCGCGGCTCCCTGACTGCCTGGTGCTCTCCAGAGTTGTGCCTTAGTGGCGAGGGCTGAGCCCCAACTGTTAGGCGTCGGGTTGCTGTGGGCCTCGAGTTGTTTCCACTGAGAAGTGCACCTGAAGCCTGATGAGACGTGTGAGTCACTGGTGAGAAGAGAGGGGAGGTGGGTCGGCGTGTGTGCAGGAAGCCACCTTCCCTCGAGCGCCTGGACTTCCGCAGCCTGCTGCTGTCAGGAAAACCCACTTGTCTGTCAGAACAGCAAATTTCTTCTCTTGCTGGAACACTACGTATTGTTTCTTTTTTCCTACAACTGGAACAGCAGCCAGCCGTGTGTAGCCTGTAGGGCTTTTGGTTCAGGGGGTAGCTGATGCTAACAGGATGGTCTCGCCTCATGTGGGTTCCCACCCCGAAAGGCGCTTTGTGCTTTTGTGCGGTTGTGGGAGTGCGGAGCTGTGCGGTTCTTGTCCCTCCTGAAGGCCCGAGGCTAGCTAGCAACCTGGGTGATGTTCACTTTGGTTGCCGTGTGGTGGTTTTGGGAGGCCAGTGCCAGCTTGTGTGTGTTTCTGCCAGTCTTTCTGAGAGGTGGATTTCCTGTGAAGCTGACTAAGCTGAAGCTTTGGGACCCCTCTCCCCTTGGTTTGCTATTTTTTTTTCTTAAAGAAGGGTTCCTAAATTCCACACATTCAAGCCCCATAAAAGCTAGGTCTTTTATGTGTGTGCTTCCAAAGATGGATGGACTCCATAAAACAAGAATTTGTTGCTCTAGTTCTGCCTCCCACCAGCAGGGCCCACATCAGGAATCTGCATCAGGATTTGTTTCTGCTGATTAAACCTTGGTGCCTTCATGATCCTAAGCCGCTTCCTGAGCACGCGGAGCTTCACTTGCTTTGCTGACTTCTGACTGCCATTTACCCAGGCCCTCAAACATTTAAAAGTTGCATTTTCTTCCCCCGTGAAACAGAACCACAGGCTGCAAACACTGAGAACCACAGCCCGCAGGATGCCTGTCTGCTCTGAGGGCCACCCAACCACAACAGTACTCAGAAAGAAAGCTCTCCAGAACAACATTTCCATCCTGTGTGAACCGTGATCATTCTGTGGCATTTAGACTGCTGGCTTTTACTTCACTATTGAGAGAAAAAGAATAGTCAGTTGACAGGAGTCTTTGTTATTTAATTGGCTGAATTGTCACTGTGATGAACATTTTAATCTTTATATTGGATCATGCTGTGGAGTTGGCAGTGACAGCTACAAGTGATTTAGATGAATGCATTTCATCAAGTCATGATGGAAAAAATGTACTTGAAATCTGTGAGTCTTTAGTGTGCCAGGATTTCTGCTTCTGCACAAAGCAGAAATATGAGGGTGGTCAAAATCTATGGCAAATGATTATATACAATTTATTATAATGGAAAACACCATTTATCACCCTCAGATACGTCTCCTCTGTTTAAATACACGCTTCCCATTGTTCTTGCCACTTTGGGAAGCAGTTCTGGAAGTCTTCTCTCATGAGTGTCTTTACAAGGTGTGACCAGAACTATATGAATGCTCCTGCTGAATGTCATCCAATGGAAGGGCGGTTCATAAAACTTCACAGTATGTCATCGGCCACCTTGTTCACGGGATCTGGGCCCATGTGTCTTCCAGCTCTTTCCCAAAGTTAAATGACTGTGAAAGGTAAACATTTTGAGTTGATTCAGGATATTAAGGCAGCCAGACCAGTGCAACAGAGACACTCACAGAAAATGACTTGTGGAACTATTTCAGAAAGTGGCAGGAACAACAGGATAAGTGTGTGGAAAGGGAGGGAGAGTATTTCTAGGGAGATTAGTAGCATTGTGTCTTTCACTGTAATAATTTTTTAAAAAATTTAAACGCTGTACCTTTGATCATATTCCATAGATAAAATGTAAGGAATTGTTACAAGCGTGAGTTTAACTTTGTGAGATGATACTGTTCAGCCTGTATAATTCCTGTGTTGTAATTTTCAGGTTATTACATTTCTCTGTTGCAGCACATGTTGACTTGGGTCTTCTCTGAATGTAGATTCTGTGTTTCTCTCCCTCCAGTTTGTAAAATGAATGTACATATTCGGTGTCAGGCCAACGTGGCCCCGAACTGTGGGGTGAATGCGGTGGAGCTGGCCAAGACCCTGGCGGGGATGGGCCTCCAGCCCGGGAACATTTCTCCGACCTCGGTGAGACTTTGCTTCTTCTCATGGATTGTAATTTAACAGTTGTGCAGTTGTGGTGAAAGGAGCTCAGGAGGCACCCCCAGCATTTCTAATACCAGCAAAGACAGTAATGCCAGGAAGCGGGAGGAAGACTTGTTTCCTTTTTCTTTTTCATTGTATTTTTTAATTGGCTTCCTGTCAGTATAATCTGGTGGAAAGCTTGGCGCCCAGAGGCCTGGGCTGTGCCCTCAGCTGAGGATTGGGCAGGACGGTTGACCAGGAGCCACAGAGCTCAGTGTTCTCATCCCAGCAAGGTTGAACTCGAAGACCTCCCTGGAATCTGGCAGTTCTGCAGTTTTTGTTTATGGGTAGTGAATTTATCTCTCGCCTTCAGCAGGGGATAGGAGTTCCTTCCTCTGGGCTCCCGGGAGTGGGTGGAGTTAGGTCATTTGGCCAGGACATATTTTGTCATGCAGTCTCCTGAGTGATCTCCACCTGGTGTCGGTCAGGGCCTCAGTGGCTCTGCAGGCCGGCTCTCGTGGCTGCGTCCTGACCAGCAACTGCCGCGTGCTGGGAGCAGCCGTGCTGCGTGGCTGTGTGGTCTGGAAGGTGTCCTTGGATACCTGCTGTGGGAGGATTGGAGGCTGAGCTGGGCACATAGGAGAAAGGGAAGTGCAGCCACTGGGAGGCTCTTCGTAACTTAGCAAGTACAGCACTACCCACTTCATGTCCTTTTTACTGAAACGCTCCTACTTAGTAGACCAGGAACTTGTACTGAGAGCGTGTTTCTTGATTCCATGCAGGCATGGGAAAAGTCTAGGTCATCTGTGTTAGGGGTAGGCAGGGAAGGTGCTTAAGTGGTGAGAGGGATTCTTATGGATGGGACAGTTGTTCTTGAAAAGGGAGATTAGGATTTCAGCCTGAGCCCAGGCTTCCATAGCAGGGTGGGAACAGGTGGTCGGGAATAGCCATGCCGCCATCATTTGAAGCAGTGATCTTTCATGTTACGATATTTAAGAGCAGGAAAACCAAAATTACCTCTTATTTCACGTTGCAACATTACAAAGAGGGAATCTGAATCTAATAAAAAAAGAAGAATTTGTTAAAGAAAAAGATTGATAAACATTGCTTTACAATTTTCTAACTACTGCTACTCTACCCATGGGAAGTATGGGTGTAGAAAAAGTTTAAATTGGTATAATTTTTTATCTTGAAAAAAATGGTAATAAGATTCAGAGGCGGAACTATTAAAACCACTGGATTAAGCTGGATGTGGTGGTGCACACCTGTAATCCCAGCACTCGGGGGGCTGAGGCAGGAGGATCTTGGTAAGTTCAAGGCCAGCCTGGGCTACGTAGCAAGACCCTGTCTCAAAAAAAAAAAAAAAGAACACTAGATTTTTAGGATGATTTGTTTTATATCTTGCCATCACTATACTAGGGGTTTAAGTAAGTAACATCCTTGAAGTTTCAGGGGCCAGGGGCGGTTGCTACAAGTTGGTTTGTTGCTAAAATTGCTTAGAAGTTGGCCCAGATGAGCTTTTTTAAAAAAATTCCAGGACATTAGATTTTTGATCTGTTACCTGGTGGCAGCTTGTATGGTAAATGTCCACAGGTGGGCACCTGCAGAAGCAGCCCCCTTGCTGTGAAGGCGCAGGGGACCCGGAGCCGTGGGTGCACTGATGGTGCTGGTGAGGATGTGGAGTCGCCCCCTCTGCAGGGGACATGTTGGCTGTGCATCCGATGCCTCCAGAGTTAACACTGGGGCCCAGAGAATTCCATCTCCAAAAAGTTACCTTAGGGAAACAGACGAGGGTTACATGATGACAGCATTAGTGCCAGATACCAGTCTAAGCGGCTTACATGCATTATGTCCGTTTTTTCCTCATGATAACTCATGTGGCAGATGCGGGAACTGCCCCTCGCCCCTGTCACAAGGCGAGACCGAGGCAGGGTAAGGCACACCCGCTGGAGGTCAAGGCTGGGTTGCAGAGCAATCATGTGAATCCAGGGCAGCTTCCTTCACAGCCCAAACTCACCGTTACCCTGTTGTGAAGGTTTACCTGCAGGTATGCTCACAGCGGTGGTGTAAATAGGGTGAAAACAGCCATTGACCAGCACTTCCCATAGCAAGGGATTAATATGCATATGGAACCCACTGAAACTTCTGTACCGGGGCTGGGAGTGTAGCTCAGTGATAGAGCTCTTGCACAGCATATTCCAGCCTCAGCCCCCCACCCACATACACACAGAACAAAATCCTCGCGTTCTCAAAGATATCTAAAGATAGGAAAAATATAGATGACTAATTTTTAGATTAAAGTGTATATTATAAAGCATTAATGTATTTTTAAAAAATTAAGTGTAAACGCATATATCTCTGTGTGTTACTAATATATACATGTTGATGTATATGTAGCTAAGAGGCTGGCAGAAGTTTAGGTATATAAAAATTTATCCCTCATGCTTTCGGTAATTTTTCCAATTTTTGATTGAATTTTTATTTCTTACATAATTTAAATTTTGTAGAAAGAGCACTGCTTCTTCCATCTCCTGTTTCTGAACCGTGCTTGATTTTCTGAGTAAACTGGAAAACTGCTTTTGCATGAAATGCACACTAGGGGGCGCTCCTAGAACCGGCTTCTCTGTGGGAAACCACTGCAAAAGAAATCAGAGGGACCAAACTAACGCGCCGTTTCCTTACTCTTCCCTTTCAGCTCTGAATCCTTAGCCTAGATGTATTTTACGATGCTCTTTTTTCCACCAAACAGCAGGAACAGACCAGGAGCTGATGCTGAGGCAGCTTTGGGTTGTACAACCCGATGGTCTGCAAGCTGAATTGACCTTTGGGGTTGAGGCTGCCCGCTTCGGAGGTCCCCTCCCCGCCCATGCTGCGCTGTCTCACTGCCATGCCTGATTCAACGTATTTCTCCTCCTCTGCAGAAACTCGTTTCCAGATCGACCCTAAGGCGACAGGGAAAGGAGGGCAGCAAAGAAGGAAATGGGGTCGGGATGAATTCTTCCAGCAGACTCGGCATTGACGACTTTGAGTTCATCCGAGTGTTAGGCAAGGGGAGTTTTGGGAAGGTGAGTCTTGGCTGTAGCCATCCGGTTGCACCAAGCTTTGGGGTGTGTGTGCGCGCGTGTGTGCGTGCGTGTGTGTGCGCGTGTGTGCGCGCATGTCCACGTTTCTCACGTGTGCCCTCGGCCTAGGAACCCCAGAGAGGCTCCTCTCAGGCTCTCTCCTTGTCTCGTCCCAGGTGATGCTCGCAAGGATAAAAGAAACGGGCGAGCTCTACGCTGTGAAGGTGCTGAAGAAGGACGTGATCCTGCAGGACGACGACGTGGAGTGCACCATGACGGAGAAGAGGATCCTGGCCCTGGCCCGCAACCACCCCTTCCTCACCCAGTTGTTCTGCTGCTTTCAGACGCCGGTAAGCGAGACTCAGTCACAGCCCCTGCGGCCGTCTTTATCACTGAGCTATGATAAGGCGCTGAGGATTTCATAAAGCTGAGTATCGGAGAATTTTTTGGACTGTGCGCTCCCAAGGTCGGCCCATAGGGGGTGATGGGCCTGTGAAAGACTGTAAACTAGAGAATTTACCCCTTCTTCCACCGTGCTGTCCCGTGGAAGAATCACCGCCAGGTTGTGAGGCCCAGGAATGAAAAGGTCTTGCACCTAAGTCTGCTCTGGCAGAATGATGGTCACAGAAGTCAAGGAATAGAGTAAGTGTCATGGGCCAGTTGTCTTGGTGAATTTGGCCGTGATTGTGCTTCTGAAGTTTGGACTATGTTGGACCTGGGCACAAGAGCACAGAAGAAGGGTCTGAGAGGACTTAGAAAGGGCACCTTGATGGCTGTGTCCCAAGACACTGCTCCCGGCCGCAAACAAAAACCTTCTGCCTGGTAGCGTAGGCTGATCTTGGGACTGTACGTGTTGACCTATGATGGTAAGAGCCGCTATACGAGCAGTTAGAAATGCGTTTGGCTGCAGATAGTGGCGTAAACAGGGTGGGCTTAGCTTTTTAGTACCAACTTTGTTCTTGTTATTTCACACAGTAAAGTTAGGAGGGGACAAGGCTGGGACTGGATTTGTAGCCCAGTGCCACTAGACATGTCAGTCTCTTGGGTCTCAGGGCATTTCCTGTACCTCTGGATATCGTACTTTCACATGGCGGCATTGAAAGCACCAAGCACAGACCAGCGGGCAAAGGGTTTGCCTAGACTTAGATCAGCTTCTCTTAGCAGTAAGGAGGCTGGAAGGGCAAATACCTAGCCAAGACCAGCTGTGCCAGGACTGGTTTACAACAGGCCCGGTCCATCCTTGGGCAGGGCACGGTACTGCCTGTTTAGGATTGGCCTCTGAGTTGGGCTCTGTTACCTCAGGAGAGAGAAAATGCCCCTTGAGAAGGCACCGCAATTGCAGCGGGTATGTCAGGGTTTCCTTGCATGGAAAGGACTCTGGACGAGGGAATTCTCTGCGTGTGCCTGGGCTGTGATTCCATCAAGGAAGTAGGAACACTGCGGAGTGAGAGCAGATCCTACCGGGGAGAGAAGCTGTGGCACATTTCTAGGGAAAGTAGCAGCTATGCTGGAAAGAGAACACGAGCTAGAATTAGCTGGGCAAAGAGTGAAAAGGTGAACGTGCCGTGTCGGGGAAGTAGCTGGGTGGCACACTGGATATGAATAAAACCTCAGTGCTGTCTTCCAATGATGGTATGAGAATCACCCAGATACCCACCCATATCCTTTCTCTGAAAAAAGCAGTTGTTACTGGTCTCACATGTAGCCTTTTAGATAAATTTTTGTACATAGAGCACATATGCATACCATATATATGCATGCATGTTTTGCTTTTCAGAACACAAATAGTAATATATTTTGACTGTGATTCTAACCCTAACTTTAAAAAAATAATAGTTAAAAAAAACCCAAAAACATAGTATATTTTGAAGATTTGGATTTTTGCACAGCTAGCTGACTCATTTTAATGGTTGCATAGCATTCCTTCTAAAGAGCATGTCGACAGTTTATTTTACCTGTTCTCTTGCTGTATGTTCGTGCACCGGATCTTTCATTTCAGTCCGTGTTGCAGTGAGCCCCCTGTACTTTTATCTTTGCCTGCTTGTGCCGGTGTTTCGAGGTTATGAGAAACGGCAGTGCTTGGCCTGGGCATGTGTGTGGACATTTTTGACTCAGGGCAGTGTGTGTATGGTGGAGGACCGCTGGAGCAGCAAGGCTGGAAGCCAGAGACCAGAGGGACGTTCAAGGGGCTGCACAGCGTGGACTCCCTGCTGGGGTTGTGGCGTCCGGGGAGGTGGCCGCTGACTTCCTAGGCCTCACTGTGCACCCTGTCCTCCTGGTCTGGGCTCTGCAAGGCTATGCCCTCCTGCCCAGTGGTCCTCAGCGGCATCGATGGCCTGGAGCCCGTGGTTTCCCCCACCTCACCCTGAGTCTCTGCTTGCCATCCCTGGTCCTTGGTGCTTTTGGAGCTCCAGCTGTCCCTGTCCTCCAGACTATTTCTTCTGCTGCTTCAGTGTGTCCACACATTGCCAACACAGCTCTACCCCAGGCCCTTGAACCCTCGGTCCGGCTGTGCTCTCAGAGAGCAGTGGGGTCACAGCTGTGGGCGTGAGGACAGCTGGGAGGTGCTGCTGCTCATGGCCTGGATTCCGGGCTCCATCCTCCTGATACCACTGTGAACGCCAGGAATCAAGCAGCGGAGCTGGGTTCCTGCTCACCCTGCCTCCCCGCCAGGGCCTCCTGGGGGCCTGAGCCAAAACTTGGATGGCTTCTTAGGACCTTAGGTCAGGTCAAGTGGAATTTAATGATCTTAGTCTGGCCGTGCAGCAGTTTTTGTTCCAAGTTACTACTGATGGAGCAAATAAAGAAGTGTCTCAGATTCAACCCCAAAGGCGTTTTGCTTACAAAAGAGAAATCCCCGGGATTCTGTATAAGCAGTCAAAATTCTCACCAAGCACTAAATCATGGTGTGGTAGAAAACAAGAAATCAACCTGGACTAGTTTGGGAGCCCAGTGACTAGAATATGGAGGGCTTCATTTTCCAGGAAAATAGATACACTGTGCATTATACTACAGTTTTAGTGGCCACGCGGGATTCACCGTGTTTAGCAGCTGAAGCCTTTACTAACATGGAAGTTTTTTCCTATCGAAAGTCTGATGCTTGGCCACAAGGTGGCGGTGGTTACTACAAAATGATTTTTATCTTGCAAACAGAGAAATAAAACACAGGGAACTGCCACTGGGGATTAAAATGTGTGTATGACAGTACATGTCTCTGGAACAAAGGATAGAGGAATTCTCTCCTGCCTTAGTTTAGAGGATAAATGAAGCGATGGGAGCTAACTTAAAAGAATTAAATGGGTTTTCCTCATGGTAAAATAGAGGTGAGCAGTTTTCATTTTGCCTCCTCTCAGGCTTATATCAGACTCCACAGTGTAAAAGGCAGTTGTTCTCCATGTATCCATCTGCAGGAGACCGCCAGGTACGGGCCCTGCTCACTGTTAGAAAGTGCGCTCTGAAAGACAGCATGTGTTCGTTGCTGGGAGAAACTACAGCAGAATAGATCGTGGCTTTGGCTGCCTGGTTCCCTGGGCCAAGGCTCTCAGGGAGATGCTGGTGGGTGTGTAATGCTGACCTGCAGCAGCGTCCCTGGAGAACGTAGCAGTGAGTCCAGCGGAGGCATTGGCCTCTCTCCCCAGCTATCTGCAGGAGTCATGGTGTTGGAATGGCCCTTGTAGGCATGGGGCTTCTCTAGCACCACCTAAGCATCCCGCATTGCCCCGGTCCCCTGCAGCCTGCTGAGAGGAAACCAGCAGAGGCCCCAAGTTCTTTTCTAGCTTTTCCCCCTGCATCTAAATGGCTTGAGTCTGCCCTAAAGTTCCTTGGAGATTGACAGTGCTCATCATGAAAACGGAAGCAACAGTGCTGGGAGGGTGGTGTGAGAGGACGCAGGAGCACTTCGTTCACTGCGAAGCTCTGCTCTGAAGGGAGTCGAGCCATCAGAGTGATGACCACCTCCTTCCCCGCGTCAGCTTCCCCTGTCCTGGGGCTTCCCGGTGCCCAGCACAGACCCCATGGGGGGGGGGCAGTGGTGAGCACGCACAAAGCAGGAGTTTTGGCACCTTTGCTGTTCTTGGCAAAAAGAAAACAATGAACAACTTTCAAATACTGGAGGATGTATCAGGTTTTCTGTACAGGTTCGGAAACCCATACATTTTCCCCTAACCTTTGTCCTAATAACACATATTGCTTACAGTTGTACGGTTAGGTTGGCATCCTCAGACGTTTCTAACGGCATTGTAAGTTCTAAGATTTGTTAATAATTTGATCATTTTAAGACTCATAAAATGTTTGTGTCGTTACGTCTGTTGTTTTTATTTCTGGTAGTCCAGCGTGCAGAACAGTATGCACTATATGAACTGTCATACATACAGACGCTCCATGGTCAATGCATCATTTATTTGCTTTTTTTTTTTTTTCTTATTTATTTATTTGACTGAAATCTCCGTGATCCTTCCACTCACAGTCCTGGGTAGCTACCGTTCTACTTTTTGCTTCTACGAGCTTGATTTTTTGATTCTACTTATAGGATCATATAGTATTGGGCTTATTTGGGGATGATTATATCCTCCAGTTTTATCCATGGTGATGCAAATTGCAACTTTCCTTTTTTAAGGAAAAGCCTAGTATTTTATTATACATATACCCCATGCTTTCTTTATGCACTCATGCATTGCATCCACATTACTAATACTACTGCAGTGAAGTAGAGATGTCTCTTCAACATACTGTTTGCATCTTTTGGATGTATACCCAGCATTAGAACTGCTGGATCATGTGGCAGTTTCATTTTTAATTCTTTAGGACCCCCGTGCTGTTTTTCTCGCTGGCTCTACTCATTTGCGTTCCCACCAGCAGTGTCCAGGTTCTCCCCCGTCTCCACTCATTACAAGCACTTTCTGTCTTTCATCTTTTTCAGTAGCAGTTCTGACAGGTGTGAGGTGACATCTCATGGTTCTCATTTGCTTTTCTATGATAATTAATGTTGTTAAGTATCTTTTCATGGACTTTTTTTTTTTTTTTGTGGTACTGGGGATTGAACTCAGGGTTTTCACACTGAACTGTACCCCCAGCTCATGCATTCATTTATTATTTATTTATTTTTGAGATAGGATCTCACTGAGTCACTAAGTTGCCTAGGCTGGGCTCAAACTTGCAATCCTCCTGCCGCAGACTCCTAGAGTGCTGGGATTGCAGACGTGTACCACCATGCCCAGCTTCTATTGATTGTTTGTCATCTTCTAAGAAATGTCTACTCAGATCTTTTACCTGTTTTTTTAAATTGTAATTTTCTAACAATTGAGTTTCGTTTCTTATTAGTATATGAAAAAAATTTTCACAACCAAATAATAGGAGAATAACAATAGTTATTATACTGTGTATAATTATCTCCAAAGTAGTTACTCAGTACAAGGTATTTTGGATATTAACCCATGATCAGATATATGGTTTGCAAATACTTTCTTCTATTCCACAGGTTTTTTTTTTCCTTTACTGTGTTTCTTTGCTATGCACAAGCTTTCACTTTGACATATTCTCATTTATCTTCCTTTGCTTTTGTTGCCTGAGCTTTCAGAGTCACATTCAAAAAGCTGATGCCAATATTATAGAGCTTTTCTTGTACGTTTTCTTTTAGTAGATTTACAGTTGCAAGTCTTACATTGAAATTTCTTATCCATGTCAGGTTGATTTTGTGTCTGGTGCAAGATAAGGATGTAGTTTCATTCTCCATGCAGAAACGCCAGTAACTGAAGAGCCTGCCCTTTCCCCTTGTATGACTTTACTATTTTGTTGAAAATCAGTTGGCCATAATTATGTGAACTTATTTCTGCACCCTGTGTTCTGTTCCATTGGTCTCTGTGTCTGTTTTTATGCCAGTGTTATGCAGTTTTGATAATTACAGCTTTGTAGTTGGTTTTGAAACCAGGTTGTGTGACACCCCTGGCATTGTTCTTTTTGTCAAGGATGTTTGGTGTGAGTGCATGATTTATAAGAGGAAAATGTTAGAAGCAAATTCACCATTCAGCAACAGCAATATACTGTACTTAAATAGTATACTGAGGTGGGGGTATAATCTAGGGTAGCATGGCTAACATGTGCAAGGTCCTGGGTTTGATCCCTAATGCTAAAATGGATGGAGAGAAAAGAGGGAGGGAGGGTGTATTTGGTTAGTGGAATTACGGGTGATTTTTTTCTCTTTTCTGTTTATCAAATTTGGTAGTTGGATTCTGTTTCCTTAACAAGGGGATGGGACGAATAAGCCATGATTAAGCCAGGGAGGGCACTTGGGTTCTCAGCACGCCGGATGCAGGTTTTATAGATGCCGCCTGCTCTGCTCTTTGCAAACTGAATTTGCTTTCACTCTCTGTCTTCATCAGTGACCGCCAGCACTGAGCCTCCTGGCATCTGGGGCCTGGAATCTGGGTCTCTGACCACTTGTGGGGGGCTCTCCCCTTGGTTCTCCTCTGGAGTCTCAGCTGAGTGCTGGGGAGGGAGGAGGTCAGGACAGACACAGAAAGAGGGAGGGAGAAAGAAAGAGGGAATAAAGACCCGGAAGCCGTAGGAAGGGGATGTGGCAAGGTAAATATTGGCCAGATGGTTTAGCCTTTGTTCAGAGACCCAGTTTATGGGAGCAAAGGTTGAGAAACATGAGCCGCTGTGAACACAGAGCATAGGCGCTCACTGCCTCTTTCTAACAGGCCCAGACCCGGCGTAAGGCCAGGCTGAGCCAGGTGGCACTCATCTCATCCCTGAGGAGTTGCCTGTGCTTGAGCGGCCTCTGCTGCAGCGAGGTGGGCTTCAGAACATGGACACTCCCTGCACAGGATGGAGCCACGGCTCTTGCTCTTACCTCTCCTGGACCCATCCTGCCGGCTCCTTCCTCAGGACCCCAGGGCTGCTGATTGGGGACCTGGGGCTCAGCCTGTGAGAGTGGAACCCCGGGCGGGGCCAGAGCTCTCCCTTCTCACATGTGGACCAACAAAACTGAAAGCCTCGTTCTGGAGTTTGGGGGCCGCAGGAGTCTTGTGAACTAAATGGCATCAGTGTGTGTGCTGGTGTGTACCGTGTGTGTGATTTTGGAAGACTTCACGTATGTGGGAAAACCACCTGCAACGTGAATACAAGGGAATGTTCCTTTCTCCGTATTATTTTCTCCATTCTCCTAAATATTTGCAAAAGTGTGTGTGTGTGTGTGTGTGTGTGTGTGTGGTTGGGGGGAGGAGAGAAGAGGAGAGACAACCAATGCAAGCATCCTGTGCCCCTGGAATTAGTCGTTCAGCATTTTTCGGGGGTGACACCACTGTAACCTTCAAAATAAGAGCTCTGGGTTCTAACTCTGGCTTACCCAATAGCCCACTTGTCTTTAGGAAGTACCCTTGCCTTTTATTTTTTCCAGCTCCTCTACCCAAACCTGTGTCCTTCCCCCATGGTGGCAGAGAGGCCTCCAGAAGGGCCCTGAGGCCCACCACAGTGCGTGGAGGCAGCGTGCTGTCCCCCAGGGCCCTGCGTGGCCCAGCCTCCCCTCCCCACAGCCCCTGCTGGCTTCTCTCTTCCCCTGGTTACAGAACACTGAGCAGCACACCCAGGCCTGCTGTGTCCCGAGTCACTGCCAGGAGCTGTGGGTGCAGGGCACACCTGGCCCTGCAGTGGCAGGGCTTCCCGGTGCTCTGAGTCTTTGTGCCATCCCAGGCCAGGGAAGAGGCCCTGTGAGTGTGGGTGAGGAGCCGAGAAGGCAAGTCTGGCCCAGTGACTGGAAAGGAGATCCCTCTGGAGACAGGTCCATGCAGCAGAGCTGGTTCATCCCTGGGGCGTGAGTAGGGCCAGCTTTGCAGAAGGAGTGGGTGAAGGAGAGGAGATCGCTGAGACCCTGCTGCACATCCAGGTGTGCCTGCTCCTACTGTTATCTGCAAAACTGCATGCTGGTGTTTCATACAGTTCTGTTGAATGAAATATCTCGTTTCATACCTAAAGTGGTCCGGGAGGACGTAGACACTTTCAGCCTGATTGTAAAGGTCTGGAAGCAGTGGTCTGGAGAGGCTAACACACAGCAAACAAGAGCTCATATGTGGATCCTTGCCCAGGTTGTCCAGCTTAATTTTTACGTGCCTCTTCTGTATGCCACAACCAAGACATTTCTAGTTTTTGCAATATGTAGAGCTGAGAAGGTTAGTGTCATTAGTCAGGAATAAAGACAGTTTTTCACAATCTGTGGTTTTGGCCTTTCGTGAAGCACCCAAGGACATTTCCCCTCAGCAGTGGAACCGCTGCAAATGTGATTGAGTCTGCTTACGGGTCATTTGTTGTAGTTTGCCTTTGGCTCAGATCAAAATAGAAAATGTGCCGGAACATAGTGCTTCCTGTCTCTGCATGTTCTCGGCTTATTAGCAGTGTTCCATCTTCCTGTTCGGTCACTAACTGTGGGTAGATACCCACTGTCAGACCAGATCTCTGACGGCAAGCAAATATTTGACCCGCCTTCTTTTTAGCTGAAGACCCCCTGGGGCCCATCTCCAGGCTGGCGATTAGAGAGCTGGGACCTTTGCTCTGTCCTCTCTGACTATCAGGCCTGGGATTTCTGTTGCTAATTGGGGCCACACAAATGAATGAGGAAAAAGAAAACTCAAAGTTCAGATTGTTCCTTTGGCTCCATCTCTTTGGCTGGGACTGCCAAAGTGTCCAGTGTGACCCGAGAGTCTCAAAGAGCTGGTTGTGAGGTTGTCCAGTTGTAACAGGCTTTGTTGCCAGCCTTTGTCATCTGACCCTCCACTTCCACATTGGGTAGGACGGTTTGTGGAGTTGGTGTGTACCTTTGACATAGTTGACACTCTCCCGGGGCCAGACTTGGCCCGGATGTGCTGTGACTGGAAGCTCTTGGGGTTGGTGAGCGGTTGGTTATGGTCTTTCCTGCTCATAGTTTAGAACCTTTGAACCCCCGAGTTAGGGATGCTCTGTGCTTTGAACCCCCGAGTTAGGGATGCTCTGTGCTCTGCAGCACGCTGTGTGGAGACAGCAAGTATGAGGCCCTCAGGGTGAGGAGGAGGTGCGCTCTCTGTCACAAAGTTGAGTGAAAAGCCACTCGACACAGGAGTGCACCGAGCGCCAGGGAAAGGAGATGGTTCTGTTCTCCCTCGGCCTGGGAGGGAGCAGAAGACCAAGACCCAGGCAGTAGCAGCGTGCTGTGGATCCCACATAGTAAGCGCAGGCGTTGCATCACAGGAGGAGGACTTGGGAATGAACACTGGATCCTGGGGCAGCACTCGCTGTGTGGCTGCCAGCCTTTACACAAAGCACAACCAGCATGGCCATGAGACCAAAACCACTGTCTGCTTCAGCAGTGCCTCAGCCCCACCTGCACGCGTTTTCCTGGGCAGCTGGGGGTCCCCTGCCTGAACTCACTGGGTGTCTTGCAGGACCTGGAGCTATGCCTGTGAGTGGTTGGCTGAGCCCACCCGACCCTGAAGACAGGATCCAGCAGTGTGGAAACCTGCCCACTGGGATAGAAAGCAGAGGCTGGAACATTTGCTCATGGGGAAATATCTGAGCTCTCCCTGATTGCTTCCTCAGTGCCAGGAACCTGGTTGTGTCCTTCTCTTCCAGGCTGCAGAACTATTCAGGAGCGCTGGTAGGCACAAGCAGCCCATCCGCATGGAGGTGTAGACAATTGCTTCTGCAGGTTTGCTTGCCGCAGGGGCAAGAAAACATTCACTCATTCCATGCCCGGCATGGAGGCCCGCATGGTGCAACCAAACTTCAAACCTCAGGACACAGCAGTGAACAGGCAGAGGAGTCTCTGCCCCTGAGTAGTTGGCCCTTTCTTGGGACCTTTTATGGGGCTGAAGCTGCTGAGCAGACCGCTCCAGGTGGACTTAGGCAGTGACCCTCTGTGGAACTGATCCTCAGGATAGTTGCTGGATTTCCATTTAGGATGCATTCAGAGCAGTTTTCTGCTTGGAAGGAAGCCCAGGGACTTAAAGCTGCAGATGCAAATCAGGGGCACTCTTACGTTTGTGAAGGATCAGTGAGTTTGAGTTACGGTGGTGTGCTGGGGGCAGCTGAAGCCTTTGGCACTATATCCGGTTGCGCCTGGGTTCCTGTTGCTCCAGCAGGGGGCGTAACAGGAAGAGTAGTGCCCCAGTTGCTCCCTTGCTCACCACGGCTGCTACTTGCACGATCTTTCCCTCCGTGCTGGGTAGACTGGTCTGCTCACTCCGGGCCCTGCTCCAGGCTGCGAGGATGCCCTGTCCACCTCTCTTGCCACCCCACTGCTAATCCTTGTGCCATCAAGCCCAACTCTCTCTTCTTTTGCAAGGTTCCCTTTCCTGCCTTCTGCCCTGTCTCGCCTGCCAGCAGACCTGCCTCTTTCTGCCGGAGGGCTGCAGGATACCCTTTCTTCCTTCCTGGGCTGCCCACGGAGCTCCTGTTTCCTCTCTGTGGGAGGCTTCCGGAGTCCACTCTGTTCATCCAGCAGAGGAGCCCACTCCTGCCCACCTCTGGCTCATTTCACGCTCGTCATGTGTACCATTTTAGACATTAAACTGATGGGATATTTAATTCCCCATCAAAACAAAAGAGGAAAGCCCTTCTGGCCAGACCACCCTACCCCCTACCCCACATGTGTTTTTCCGCTTCTGTGCAGTGGACCATGGGAAGCAGCCCTGGCCATGTTCCCACTCTTCTCTCTCCCTATTCCCGGGGGAGCACAGAGCCACAGCCTCCTGGGACGCAGGGGGAACCAACCAGGCCTGCGCAAGCCTAGCCCATCTGCACGATGTCTGTTTACCGGTGCTGATAAAGGATCGTGTTGTACATAACCCGGAAAAAGTGGGAGCAGATGAAGCAGAGCTGACCTGGAGGGAATGTGAGTTCCTCTTCTGGAAGTCTGCAGCATCCCTAGGGCTGCTCATCCACTTGATTTCTCCTCCTCCTGCGCTTCAGGAGAGAGCTGTAGCAGAAAGCTCCATCCACATTGCTCCGAACGTTATGCTCACCAACTTGACCCTCACCAGTGGGTCACATAGTTTTGTAATCTGGTGAATTTTCATCCTTTGCAATGAAAAAAAAAAAACCTGTTTACATAGAGCAGTGTTATTTGTCGCCTACTAAGTGGGTCACACAGCCTTTCTTTGTTAGCTGGGGGCAGGGGCTGTCCCCAGTAAGACGCCTCGTGCACACCAGCCCCTTGCTTCCCCGCTCAGGAGATGCCCATCATGTCTCATCAGCATGACAACTGAGTATGTCCTCAGACATCACCAAGTGTTTCCTGGGGGCAGGAATCTCCCCTGGCTAAAGACCACATCCTTGGATGACTGTCAGGCAGCCTGTCCTTCATGTGAGAAATCAGGAGGTCAGGAGCTCACTTTTCTTTTTTACAGGGGCCCTAACAAAGTGTGTCAAATGCTTGTAAAAATACAAGCACTGTCATTTCCCCCTGAGTTTGTAGGAAGGCATGGCTCCTGTTGCCGCTGGCAGTAGCTGCCCTATGGCATGTGCAGAGGAGAGACCCCCAAGCTGGGGGACAGCAGAAGTACGCAGGGTGAGGCCTGCCTGGGCACTGCTGGCTTCCTCAGGGCTGTGCCTGCTGCACGGCAAGGCAAGGCCATCAGGCCTGCGGCACCAGGGAGCCAAAGATTAGCTCACCACGCATGTGTTTAAAATAGGTTAGGTTAAAAAATCATGCAGTACACATACGCAGCTTCTCTTGGTGTTTAATCATTACACTTTCCCTTCACCAGCAAGGCACTGGATCAGTGGCATTTTATGAAAACCATCCTCTTCCACCCTGAGGTCACAGGGAAACTTGTCACACCCATCTTGAATGTTCTACACATGGCTGGATCTTACAGACAGAGATAAGCAGTGCTTTAAGAAAGATTTCCCAACCGGTATGGAAACACGCACTCATAAACAGTGTGAGTGTGCTCTGTGGGGAAGCAACCCTACTGTTTTCCTTCTTTTGTTTTCCATATACAGAAATGTTCAACTTGAAATACTTTAAATGTTACCTTCAAAACCGAGTCTTTAAAAGTTGAAAGTAGCCCTTCACCATCACAGACATGGGCTGTTTCTCTATAGAGTGTTATGTTTGAACTTACCTTGCATTTTTAATTCAATTCAGTCAATGCTTGTAGGACACACATGATGTGCCAGGGACTGAAAATATAAGCAAAAACAAAAGTTGACCTGCCCTTAGTTGCCTAAGTTTAACGGTCATTACAGCATCATGTGAAAGAGAAAAGAAGGCCATAATCGATCCTTGGGGAGATTGGTCAGGCTTCCCGGAGGAAGGGGTCTCCCGGATGTGTTTCAAGAATGAATGGGAGCCCTAGAGTCACGGGAAGAGGGGATGCCCTCCCAGGCAGAGGTGACAACAATGCAAAGTCACAAAAGCTTAAAATTGTGTGATACACCTAGGAAACCCCAAAGGACTGGATGTCACAGAACTGTAAGAGAAGACATGGGGAATGACAAAGAAGCAAAGTTGTAAGGAGCCTGCTGTTTTTTGTTTGTTTGTTTGTTTGTTTGTTTGTTTTGGTACAGGGAATTGAACTCAGGACCTTGTGCTTGCCAGGCTGCCACTGAGCTATATCCCTGGCCCGAGCCTGCTTTTTTTTGATGAGGAGCTTAGACTCAATCATGGAGGTGTAAGGAGCTAGCAAAAGATTCATTTCAGGGGGCAATGTAAGATTTACATCAGATTTAGAAGTCTTTCATGGGTTGCTGTCAGTAGAAGGAGGAGGCAGCAGTCTGGAGTGGAGGTTGGACAGGGGGCTTGTTGACCTTCTGTCCCAAGGCAGCGGTCATGGGAGTGGAGTCAAAGAAACACTAATGAGGTGGACTGGGTAAGACTTGCTAGGAGGAGTGCCCAGGGTTCTGGCCCGTTGGGGTCCTTGGGAGAATAGAATATAATGACTTCAGTTTGGGGGAAGCCCGCAGTGAGATGCCCAGAAACACACTTTGTATGGGAAATAGGTTTCCATGTCATCCATGTCCTCTTGGTTGACAAAAACTGTAATATGCAATCCTTTAGGGCATGTGGATGGAGACAAGAGAGGCGAGCTGAAGAAGGAATTCTAAGGGTAGAGCTGGGTGGGGAATGGTCAGAAAAAAAGAACCAGGAATGGTTTCACAGCAAGAGAAAGCAAGTACCAAGCCATCAGTTCACCAAAGGACTCAGAGCTGTCCCCTGGGCCTGGCAGACAAGGTCGTTGATGTCACCATCTTTGTCTGCTTTCATCTTGGGGTTTGTAGGGCCCATCTGAATTCCATTTAACCCACTGAAACTTCCCTATAAAGTCTGTGTACAAACTAAGGTCAAAAAAGTGACTGTCTTCATCAGAATCTAGCCCATACTGCAAAATGGTTTGGGAAGAGATTATGGCCTTGGGTGTTTGCTTTAACCAGATCTTGTTTGTCAACCAACAGGCCAAGAATGGTTTGTTGTGGCCGCAGTGGAAAAACTAAACTCCAGATAGCTCATGGAGTGCATATTCCAAACAGCAACTTCAACAAGCGCACCACCACTGCAGCGCAGGGAGGAAGGAACCTGTCCTGAGGTGCCAGCGCAAGGCAGGCATGGACTCTTCCTGGCCAGATTCTCTCTGCTTTTAGCTGAGAAAAATGTCAAATCAGATGGCTCTGACCTAGCATCTCCTCCCGCAGGGCAAAAATGTGTAATTCATCTACAGATAAGAGCGAGACATAAAATACTGGCTTTCTTAAGATTTTGCAAAGTTTAGGTGTTTCTATTATGAAAAGTGATCTAAATAAATGAAATGGTAATTTCATTCTTTATTCTATAAACCCTGTACAAATGAAGTCTATAAATACCTTCAATGGACCTATTCCTGTTTGGTGCTAACCAAAAATCTTCAGGAGAATGACACTACATGAAATAATGGCTTAAAGGAATCCTATGATGTGTGCTGTTGTTAAGTGACTAAACAATTTTTTAAAAAGTGATAATCACCTAGGAGACAGTCTTTATGAGTCTTCGTTTTAGGGTGGTCGAACAGGGACATTTTGACCAGGAGATAGTGTTCAAATTCCCTTGTCAACCACTAGGGGGTGCTCCCAGGGGTAGTGATGTCTAAATGATTAACCAATGGGAATTAAAACGCTGTGTTTAGTTAGCAATCAACTGTCCTCAAAGATGGCTCATTTTCCCAGGCTAATAAAAGTGAGCTTTATCATGATATGGAAACTGTGCTGCTAATACTATCTCCTTTAATTTCCAATCACTTAGAAGTCTAACTAGAAATGGCATTGGGAATAGTATGCAACTGTTAAAGGTCATGGTCTTGATGATTAGTTATTTCATCAGATGTTATATGATAAAATAGAAAAAACAGAAAGATATGTTTTTCTTTTCTCTTTTTCCTTCAAACATGCTGTAGCGCAGTGGTCCTTTGTTGGCATCAGGGACTGTTTCATGGAAGACAGTTTTTCCACAGATGGGAGGATGGTTTGGGGATAATTCAGAGGAGCGCCCAGCCTAGGTCCCTCATATATCCAGCTCACAGCAGGGCTCACACTACATGAGACTCTAATGTTGCTGCTGACCGGACAGGAGGCACTGCTGCAAACAAAGACCACGCTTCCCACACTCTGCCACTTACCTTCCACTGTGCAGCCTGGTTCCTAGTGGGCCAGGACTGGCACCAGTCTTTAGGGTGTGAAGTATAACTTAGTCCTTATAGGGAATTTAAATCTAGTTGAAATTACCTTGTGAATTGCTTATCTACTCTCAACTCTCCAGTTCTTCAGGAGCTAAAGGCCACGCGTAGTTTGTTTCTCTTCCCATGTAGGCTTTTGTTTCTGGTTGTCAGGTTTACGTGTGAATTATTTTCATTGAAAACAAATTTTTCCATTCAGTTTTACTATATAATTACATTGAACTATGGACAGCTAAGCACTCTAACAAACAGAAATCTCAAAACTATATAGAAGGAGAAGTAGCGGCATCAGCAGACCTAGTCCTTACTTACTTCTCCCACAAACTGTTCTAACTGTGGGCAAGTGCTTCCTTTCTTTGTCCTCTGCTTGCATAAAACGGTTGAGTAGAACTAATCTAGACAGTTTGTTTAAACTTTTCTAAAGTTCTAGTTTAAATCTGATGAGGAAACAGAGGTGCTGTCCTGCTGTATTAGTTCTGTAAGCATTCACTAATCCTACCATGACCCAGACACAATGCTTGGTGCTGTTAAAGATACTGTACATTGCTCAGTACCCTTGCTTTGACTTTGAAGACTTTAGGTCCTCCAAAGAATAAGACCAGATGCCTAAATCTAGCCCAGCACAGAGATGCTGGGGAAGATGTGTGTGGAACAGAGACTCCAAAGGAGGTACTAGGTACTCACAGGAAGGGAGGACTGTGCTCTGTCCTTGATCGTGTTTACTGTTTGCACATGTTTACTGTGTAGTGGATGCTTGACAATGTGTTAAAGTCTAGTCATGTCCACAGTCTGGTATAAATGCCCATCAGGCTCCTTGGTTCTGTTTTTAAATAACAGATGATGATAACGCATCCAGGAAAGCACTTGCTCTTTGAAAAGAACTGTGCGCTCCTCCAGGTCTGCACTGCAAGTTCCTAAGGCTTAGTTATATTGAAGCCATACCTCACCTTCCCAAGACAGGTCTCTGTACTCAGACAGGATGCGTCTTGCCCCAGGGCCTCACAGAGGGGTTGCTAGGTGACCGAATTAACTTCTGACATCTTCTGGGCTGTGCAGAATAATAAGCTTTTAAAAAATGAAGCCATTATCCACACTCTCTCATTGTTTCTTCCTGAAGCCTTTGTAAGCATTCTTAATGTGGTTACATTCAAGTGGTTTGCAGTTGAGTCGTGGTGCAATCAGATTTCCTCACAGGGTGCTTTTCCACTGTGACCTCCTTGACGTCAGTCACTGCTTCCTGTTGATCTGAGCTCCCCGTTCACCCTGTAGACAACTTTGGCAAAGAAAAATAAGAAAGCGGGGACAATTAGGAGAAATTCAGCACAATGCTGTCAGTTACTGGAGACTTCCTTCTTCTTGCCCACAGCTGCTGGTAGCGCACAACTTTTCATGGGGGAGGGGACTGTTACTTAGAAACATTCCACAGCAGTTCTTAGAATTTGGGTAGACAAGTATAGACTTGGCTGTCAGTGCAGCATTGCCTTAAACCAGTAGCTAAATTATTCATAGCTATGTTACTTCTGTTCTATGAATTGTAGTCCCAAAAGTAATCTCCATCCCCACTATAATCCTGAGTGTTGTGACTGTCTCTTACTGTCGTGGTTTCCAAAAGGGAACATCTTCAGAGGAACTTCACATCTGTAAGTTATAAGGACTATGGATTCTTGTTTTAAGCAGAAAAACCTTTCTCAGTCTGGTTGTGAGTCAACCTTATGATGGTGAGAAAGGCTACTAGAAAGTCCCGCAGTGCTACGTTGCAGTCCACAGAGGACAACCTTTGCTTTACAATAATAGTAATAATAAGCTTATGAAGCTCTTGGAGAATATGAATTATCATTCAGTATTCCAGAATCAGAAAACTTACTGGTACTGAGACCTTGGTTAATGTGCTCTGGTCACCTGGTTCTGTGATGCTTTGCTTAGCGATCACCTCTTGGAAAGCAAAGCTCTTTCTAAGACCAATTCCACATGACACCAGCTGGCAGTGCTCCTGTGCTGTGGCCGCTGGCCCACGAGTGCCTCCGTCTCCTCGGACCCTCTCGATTTCTGTTTCACACGGAGCTGGGAAGCTGTTGCCCTGCGGAGTCAGCTCCCGCTTTATTGCTCTTTACATGTGCTGTGCACACCTCCGCCAGTCCGGGGGTTTCCCGGGGAGGTACTATCTCTGCATCTTCTGCCATGGCACATTGCTGCATGTGGGCCAAAGCTGCAGCCGAGCGACCTTCCTGTATCTGGTGCAGCTGGCTGGACAACTGTGGCCACTGAAGCCACAGCGCAAGTGGCCGTGATGATGAGGATAATTATGATAATAGTTGCCAACATATTTTGAGCACTGACTGGGTTCCAGGCACTCTTCACAACTATGGCTTACCTTGCTTAGTCCACAGGAGCCTGGGACTGCGGTCGTCTTAGCCCCATTTTGCAGATGTGAGTTTTGAGTGTGAGAAAATAAAGTGCAGCAGGAGCTGCTTCTGCTTCTGAGCATCTTTGCTGCAGAGTTCAGACTTCGTCCTGCCCTGTGCTCCTTGTAGTTGGAGGAGGGACTTTGGCGCTTGTTACAGGACATAGAGATTGAACTCTGGCCTCCTCAGAGTATTACCAATCACTTCTTTTCCAGGCTGGACAGGGTGCAAGACTTTTTGTTTCTGGTTAATCCTCACATGATCATTGTTGTATTGTTATCCTCAATTTATAAGTGAGGAAAGTTCTAAACCATTCGAAATTGGTGTGTGGTTACAACCACTATTACTCTTTATCATTTTGTTCTGAAACCCTGTATCATTCTTACTGTTTTTGCTTTGTTTTGTTGTCTATGTTGTTGGCATTTTGCTATTGTTCTTTTTTTTCAATTCTCTTTAAAATTAAAAAAAAAAAAAAGAATTTCCTGGTAACAAAGAAAAAAAACCTACCTACGCCTGAGAGATGGAGAGGGAATAAAAATAAAGATTTGCAGGTGTAAGAGGTATCTCACAGAACCCAAGGGCAGAAATGGGCCAGGACGCTTAGTGGGATCTCAAGCTGAAAAGACTTGAGGAACTCAGGTGGTTTCTCCTCATCTCGCTCACCTTCCCCGACGACCTGTTTCTGACTGACTTTATGTTTCTCCACACGTCTTCTCTATCCATCCACTTACTCATCTATCTGTCCATATATCCATCTGTCTGTCCACCCGTCTGTCCATCCATCCAGACTTCCACCGCTCCATTATACCAAGGTGTATCCTGTGTTCCCACCATAAAGGCACCTCAGCTTCCTTATTCAGATTGCCTCTGTTCTTGTACACAGCCAAACTAATTGAAACTGTTTCTCTCAGAGCTTCCTGGGAAAACAATTCCAGAAGGCCGGCTTGATTCAGCTGTGCACGAGAGGCCTGGTGTTGACCACATGAGCAGTCTGGGCAATTCTCTGAGACGATCACCGTGCTCTGAACAGATAGCTCCACGGGTGTCAGCTACAGTCACCCGCTGGGGTCTCATCCCGTGACTCTGCAGTCACCCTCCTTAGCTAGAGTCACCTTGTAGCTCCTGCTGCCTTGGCCTGGTACATGCATCTACCCAGGGCCATGGTCTCTAACTTTCCTTCACACACTGTGTGTCAGTTTCAGCTGCTAAGACCAATCCGAAATGCAGTTTTAAGGAATGCCCACTACCAGCAACTGCTGTCAGTCCAAAGGATATTTTTATCCTCTTTGGCCTGGGAAAGTAACCATCTTGGTCTGAGAGCCAAGTGGTCTGAGAGCCAGGGCAGAGAGCTGGCCCAGGCTGTGGCAGGTTTATGGAAGCAGGGCAGGCACTGGCAGGGATTCTGTTACTACCAGGCACCCGCCCTGCTGACCTCTGTGCCCGTAACCCACACTGGGCGGGCATGGGGACAAAGGGATTTCTGAGTTGGTTTTATTCCTCCAGGTGTTCATCACCCAGTATTAATGACTTGGACTTGTGGCTAGTTGAGTCAGAGACAAAAGAGGAGCAAGGGATAGACAGAGGGCTTGGTCATTTGGCTTTAGAACTGAGGTTAAACCTGTCTCTTGGACCTCAGGTTTCTTACCACACAAGTTAGGGCAGCTTTGCCTTAGAGAAGCCAAAAGCCTCAGCTGAAGCCAGGCAGATGTTTAGGCTGAGTTTTTAGGAGACTGGACTTTAGAAAACCAAAATTGCTACATGCCCAGCTGTAAGTACAGAAAGAGTCACCCCTGTTGTCTGCAGAGGGTGGGATTTGAAAAGTCTTCCCTCCCTAGAAGTGACTCACAGCAACCTTAATCCGCCATGCAGCACCTCCCTAATGCAGGATTCCCAAAAAACGCTTCATCCAGTTGCTTCACAGTGGGATATGTGAAGCCTGATCTGGCGTTGGGCAAGTCATTGGTGATGCCAGTTCAGAAATAGCACAGGTGGTGAGTGCGGCTATAGGTGAGAGGTTGTCTTCTGCCTACTCTTTGAACTTTGAACTAGGTCTGCGCTCTGTAAAAAGCATTCGCTGCATGTGAAAGGTTTCCTGTAGGTTGGCACAGTTAATTCCAAAGGAGTACAATTTCCATGGAGAGCTCTGTTTTCATGGCCAGTGTTGTTCTGTCATATGCGGCATGTCTTTTTCAAGCCAAACCCCAGAGCCGCCACCTGTTTCACCGCAGGCACTGGGCTTAAAATTCTGATGGAGACCAGTAGGTGAGTGATCCTGGTTATTAATAGGAATGGAGGCCCTGCGAGTCTCAGCTGGGGGTGACCTGGGGTGGGGTCAGAGAAAACACCCTCACTAGCATTTTGCTTTTTCTACAAACATTTGATTATGGAAATAGCAGTTAGAGAGCAGTGAGGGAGGCCTCACACTTAGCCTTGCATCATCTCTCTCTGCGGTCCCCACACGCTGCATGACACCTCGTGCTTCCCCTGTTCTATCTTCTTAACACCCCTCCTTCAGGCCCCGCTCCAGATGCCCTTGGTGTGCTCCTCATCAGGGCTGGAATTGGCTCTTCTCGGAAGCTTCTTCAGAATTCCACCCCAGCCTCCAAGCTCTTCAGGTGCCCTGCCAAGTCCCTGTGACACCCTCGGAACCCCTCTGCTGCCCTTGCCTCCTGCAGCTCAGCTGTCTTTGTGTTTGCAAGCAGAAGTGGGCTCTCCTCCACCTTAGGGTTCTTGGGCCCCAGCCGGGGCCTGGCATAGAGTGTGTACCCAGTCTACACTAGATCCCATGGAGCCTGTGTGCCAGAGCCTAGGTCCTTGGAGCTCCTGGGATCCAAACCAGAGCCAGTTTCTTCTCACTCTTGATGCTGTTCCAGCAAGCCTGATGTCCTAGTTACCTCAGACAGCGGAAGGACCCTTAGGAGAGAAGGGTGGGCTGCCTGTGTTCCTTACCAATGGACAGGAGCATATGAGGCTCCCTTTTTCTGTACTTGCTTACTAATTTGGATTGCTTGAATAATTTCTCTCGAAGGTAGCTTTAAAAACCACATTTCCCCCAGTATCTTACCTTCGGTAAGAAAAATGTAGAGGAAGCTCATGTGATGTTAGCTTGCTTCTGATAGTAAGAAGGACCTTGAGAGATACTGAAAAGAATAAAGAAAATAAATGTCACCCCAGATCTCACAACCTGTGCCAGATTCTGTATGCTAATGCTGATCTCCGCCACTGTGTGAGGCCGTGTGTGTGTTCTTGGCCTTTGTGTGCGTATCTGTGTGTTTGGTTGCAATTGAAGTCATTCTGTACGTTCACATTTGTGATCTTTTTTAACTGAAAACATCTTTCTTGAGCTACACCACCCGCAGTAGCACTACTGTGTATTGCACGTTCAGTAGGAGGACTCGATACCCTACTAGGTGAAACTTTTTCCTGGTGATGGACTCCCACTGCATGATAAGGGGATCTTCTTTTCTAAACACTGGCGATCCTTGTCATTTACCTCCTCCTCTGCAGCAGTAATCTCGGAGAAGTTACTGACAAATCTTTTCCCCTCCTGCAGCAGACATTTAAAAATAAGATGACTAAGAGTGCAGGTAAATGAGAATTTCCTTGTAGCAAAAAACATCTTGCTACTTCATACATGCATTTTTATATTTCTGCCTTGTGGCATTAATCGAGGTCTTCGATAGGACAGACCATTGCTCTTAATCAAATATTCATTGTGTCTTAGCCAGCTTTTTTCCCCTCCTGCCTGCTTCGAGGCTTGATTGTAGCCCTAGGGCTGTGAAGTGCGCCCTCCCTTCAAGGTGGAAAGGAGACTCAGAAAGGACATGGGAATGACTGAAGTGTATGATCCCTTCTCCTGTAGTTGTGCAGCAGAGGAGTGTGTGTGTGTGTATGTGTGCACACGTGTGGACACACAGGGCCTTATCTCTTTGATGCCTACTACTTTAAAAACTCATGCCAAGGACAATAATTTTGGGAGCCTAGGGATAGCCATTTACCTACTGACCTAGTTCCGGTAGTAATCAGGTTTTCAGAGCAACGGAAACTCACGTGGTTGCCAGTCACATCCGTGAGAAGGCTAACAAGCTGGTTAACAGCAACATGTAAGGCTGACCCCCTAGCCGAGGGATACTTCCGGGTGGATTTCCCCCCTCAGTCTTCCTCAGCTCCCCTGCAGCCGCCGCCACCACTCCAGATGAACACCACGTCAGCACAGAAACTTCCTGTGCAGATGGCGCTCGGGAAGTGCCTGCAGCACGTGCCTGCCCTGCGCCCCACCCTTGGCTAACCTGCTCCTGCCACCTAGGCCTTCCTGTGGAGAAAACAACATAGCCATTGCTCACCGGAGCGCTCCCCACCCAATTCTGCTCTCCCGCTTCCAGTCACACTCCAGTGAGGGCCCCGCTGGGGCAGAGGGCTCGCTGTACTTAGCTTGCCTGCCATCTGCCTTGCATTGGTGAGCCTGAGGACTTAGTTGTGTTATTGGTGGTGGTTTCTGTTTTTGTGAATCTTGCCATTCCCCCTCCACCCTTAAGTTCATGTTTCTTGTTAGTAGAGGGAGATGTACTTAATAAGTACAGAAGACTGTTTCCCTTCTAATCAAGGGAATTACTTAAAATAGGGGCCTGGAGGTCACAAGTTGTACCGCTTTCTGATAGAGATCGGCACGATTGCCCCACTAACGCAGTGGGCGGTGAGCCACAGCACGCCCCGCTGCCTGCCACTGTTCCACTGTGAGTGTGGGGATGCAGACACTTAGAACCCAAATAGAGTTGGCTCTGCAGTGTGCAGCATGTGATTCAGTTCCGATTTCCCCAGAAGATGACCTCTGTACTCCTCCCCTGGAGAGGGCATCAGTGGCCTTGAATGGATGGCGCCCAGCTATGCGCCTTAACTCACAGGTCACTTGCTCGGAAACCTCAGCCAGCCCCCTGAGGTTTCCAGATGTTGCTGCGTCCTCCACTTTTCCTGTTGATCAGGATGTACAGATTTGCTTGTTCGTTGTAACTTGGTGGTGGTGTGTGTTATATACTGTGTTTCTTGTACCAGGCCTTGTATGGGTAGAAGTGCGTTAGCTTTGTGTCTGTGCTTCTGTCTGTCAGTTCCCCAGTTCCCAGTACCTCCTTCGCCATCGACTACCAGGGGACTTCATAAATGCTCCTGGCAGGGAGTGCAGACAGCTGTCAATCTTAAGAGATCCTTGCATCAAAACATTTTACCTTTACCTTAATGCAGTTACTTTTTAATTGCAACTTATACATTTTAGGCCATCTTACTTCCCACAGCACCTTATTCTACTACTGACACCGAGCCTAGGATATTGCTTTGGCAGCTGTTTTAAGAATCCAGTTCACCTGTGCATGAGCACGTCTCTGCAGGCGCAGCGACCTCCTGCTCCCTCCTGAGGGGTCAAGGGCCTTCCCGCTCTTCCCGCCATAGAGGCTGTTCCAAGGCGGCCATCACACTTCTGACTGCTGATAATCTAAGGGGTTTTTGCTTCTCTCTGTTCTGCCCGCTTGTGAGAACTAAAGTGCCTGTTGGGTATCCTTTCCTTTCTGTGAGTGACCTCACCTGCACAGATGAAGGCGTTTGCTTCTGGACTCCGGCTGCTGTCTCCCCTTACATGTGCATTAAGGAGAGCTAGGACCAGAACCAGAAGTGCCTGATGCCCTCCTATTTGTGACTGATGGGGAAATTCAAGGCTGCGTGGAATTGCGTGGATCCAGATGTCACTCTTCCCCTGAGGGATCCCCAGTCCCATCTGTGCTCCCTGACCCACTTTTCACAGAATCCCTCCTTTGAAAAGCCCTCCTCCCCTGGCCTCATCCCAAGGCAACACCATGCTAACTGAGCCTGAGGCTGATTGCTACTCTGCATGTTTGCATCCAGGACCGCCTGTTTTTTGTGATGGAGTTTGTGAATGGAGGTGACTTGATGTTCCACATCCAGAAGTCCCGCCGTTTCGATGAAGCACGAGCTCGTTTCTATGCTGCAGAGATCATCTCGGCGCTCATGTTCCTCCATGAGAAGGGAATCATTTACCGGTGAGTTTTGGTTTGTACTTCCCCCTCCTTTAACTCATTCCCATCCTTCCATCTTTCATAATAATCAACTGAAGTCTTTTTGGAACTCCATTGACAAAGGTCTAAATGGGCTTTAGAATAAATGCCTCCCAAGTAAAACTGCCCCATTAGGTATTGATAAAGTAGAGAGGCTCAGAAGGGATTATACATGAGTTCATTCCACCAGTGTTGGCTCAAGGCTTCTTATAACCAAGCCCTGCAAGGTACTAATCACATCACTGTGGTCTTCTTTCCATTTTAACGTTTTGAATGGGCTGGTCAGCCTGGATCTGTTCCATTTTAAGAATCCAAGCTTAGATGGACAGTGTGGCTCACGGTTGCTGAGTTGCTATAATTGTGGTCCAATGGGATGGGCTTGCCACTGACCATGGAGCAGTGCCTGGCTTGATTATATTTCTCACTTGCAGCCCCCTCCCAAATAGCATTAGATTCCATTTCATGTCGCTCAGTCTTTGATCACGGAATACCATAACTTGAACACACGCAGATCTGATTGATGATAGAACTTGGTGTGTATCAAATGAAACTTTAGTCAGAGAGAAGGTTGAGGAGGGTGAGAAGTAAAGTAATGAATGTTAGGTGGTTTTTATTCTTAAAGTATTCTCTGTTCATGTTGTCAATATCTTTCTGCTCTTTTATTTTTCAGTACTAAGGGCTTTCACACTAAGCTACCTACCCAGCCCTTTCTTTAATTTTTTATTTAGGATCTTGCTAAATTGCTCAGGCTGGGCTCAAACTTGCAATCTTTCTGCCTCAGCCTCCCAGAGTTCTGGAATTAAGCATGAACCACCAAACCTGACTATCTTTCTGTTTTCTAAATCACATTATAATGCAGTTGCCACCTAAAGTCTTTTTTTTTCTCTTGTGCTGCAGTTGTTGTTTTCCTTTGACAAAAATTCTTTTGTATTTAACATTTGCTGCAGTAATAATTCCTGATTAAAATGTGCTATTGGTTAGCCTGACTAAGTGCTGTTCCTTTTATGAGCTCATAGCAGTGTTGCTATCCTTATCAAAGTGTAAGAGAGTTTTAGAAATTGAATATTCTTAACTACTCAGCAAGTCAACGTAGGAAGGAAGTAGGTAGTGAGACTGGTAAAGATGATGCCAGAAAAGAATGAGGAATCTAAGGAGGTATACCAGGTACCCCACAAAGCAGAGCCCCCAAATCTTAGCTAGATGTAGTCCTGCAGTCACAGACCCAAGACTGTGAGGTACAGAGGGCTGCAGAGCTGGCAGCCAGGCCTGCAAGCGGCAGAGGAAGTGTCTGCTTGCAGATCGGTAGTAGTTCGCTCACTGAGTCATGGGGCTGCCGCAAGTGACTTCAGGTGTCTGTGAGTTTTCTGGCACAGGATGTGGTGTTCCCCTGGTGGCTCTGTTGAAGGCTTTCCCCTCCCTCTGCTCTCTGCCCAGCATGTGATTTGTGGTGGAGTTAAGTGTTAAAAGTCCCTGTCCATAGTAGTGGTCTGCTCAGGGCGGCACGTCCACTGTGCATTCACCTCGCCCTGGCTTACCCATTCCTCTCTGCTCCGCTTACCCAGAAGAAAGCTTCTCCACATTACATTTTTAAGAATAATGACATCCTTACTTCATAGGGACTTCTACTGTAAATCAATGTAATAATATTATCAACAACAAGAGCTAAACCAACATTTGCCTCTATTTCTCCCATAATCCTCCTAACAGTGTTATTATAGGGCAACAGCATTATTCACTTTGTTTGGATGGGTAATTAAGGCTTAGGAAGGCTTCATTAATAACCATGCTGCAAGCTGGAATTCTGTAAAGCCAGAATTGAAACCATGCTTTTAACCACTGAGATACCCTGGCTTCTTGGGAGACACTTGCAGAGGGACTCTACCATGGGGAGCTGGCTTGTTAGTCCCCTCTCAGGGAGAGGACAGCTTGACCTCAGGAAAATGAGGCACAATGGGGGAGAGCAGCGAGGCCTGACTCAGGTTCCATGGCTGCTTGCCGTGCTCACCTGGTGCAAGGCTGCAAGCTTGCTTCCCCCCACGTGTGTCCCTGCGTCTGGGTTCCCTGGTTGCATTTGTCTTGTGCTGCAGAGAGTGCAGCTGTAAGTGCTGTCATTTCTGGTGAAGCAGTGTCAACCCATGTCTTGAAGCTTTATTTCAGTTCATGGTATCTGTGGTTCAGTTCTGAGAAATGATTTTAATTTACTCTTGGACTTGAACACCATGTTCAGGCTCCAACTGATATGGCTGACTTTGAAGTGAGCACATTTAATTAGGATAGATTCAAATGCTATTTTGGTCTTGAGGATTTATTACACAGGATAATTTAATTCCATTCAGGCTGCTAGCTGGGAGCAGAATCTTAAGGGTGAGGCTTTGAAAGCCAAGTCCTTGCAATTCACACACAGTCAAGGGCCAATTTGGGAGAAGATATGCATTTGGTTCAGGAGCCAGGTGAGAAACTTGGGAGCATCAGAAAGCCTCAGGTATTGTGCAAGGCCCGCGATGTCCTTTATCAGATCTCCCTGGAAGATGCTTCTGACCTGTCCAGTTAGAGTGGTTCCCCCACTCCTTGAGGTGTGGGAGTAATTGATTTTTCAGCAAGTTACAAAGATATACTGTCTGCAAGTCTTTATTAAATAGTGCCTTCGAAAGTAGAGCTGTAGGCACCTCCCAACATGTATTTCCGGTCCCTTCAGCGACTGAGCCTGTGTGGGAAGAGACAGGCCAGCCACACCTGCGTGCTTTTCAGCTTGTGTTGGGACCCTGCCTCAGACACATTCACTTACACTGTGTGGAGGAACCGAAGCCCAGGCCTCAGGAGATACAGCAGAAGGCTCTGGCTCTTTGCCTTAGTTGGCAAAATTCTGGAAACTACCACAGTCAGAGATCAAGGAGCGCACAGAAAGTGGGCAGTGGAGGAGCTGCTTTGGCTCAGGGAAAAGACCCCGTCCATCCCTGTGTCCCGGGCTTGTTGGCTGACTGGGAGCCCAGACGGTGCTCATGAATACTTTCCATATGGCATAGACTTTTTTCCAGAATCAAGCCCTACAGAAAAGTTGAAAAACAAAGGGGCGTGCAGCCCATTTCCCAGCATTACCAGCGCCATTTTCTATCCCATTTTACAGCTTGTATTAAAGAATTCACCCATCACCAGCATTTTTATTCCAGACTCCTAAGCCAGCCAGCACACATTTGACTTGCTGTTTGATGAAGCATGGAATGTATCTAAAATATGTTGGGTATAGGAGAGCTCATAGGAGAGCAGTTTAAATTTTGGTTCCTGCTTCTCATGTTACACTGAGCGTTTGAACACACGTTTTCCGGCACGTGGGTCTGGCCACGTGGTGCCTCGTGCGTGTGGTCGTCACGATCCATGCACCTACTGTGGTATTCCCATACTCCACTTTCCAGATGTGGACCAGCCCAGAGAGCAAGCGTCACCCACAGAGGCGGACTGCCAGACATGACACATTGTCTGCTACTCTTACGCTTACAGAGCACATTAACTTTGAGAGAAAATCACCTTTGAGTTCTTCTCCAACTGAGAGGGAAGTCTCTTCTGTCCCCTCTTCCCTCACCTCCCTTGTTCTCCCCTCCCCCCGTTTCTCTGTCTCATTTGGGAAGACTAACAGTGTCCCCCCAAGATAAGTCCTGCTGAGCTAGGCTCTGAACCCCCTGTTGGAACTGTGTGAACACACCCGTCCCTGACATCATGGGTGCACTCATGGCCTTGGGCGCCTCTCAGACTCCAGAAACTGTGCCGTGTGAACTTAGCTGGGTATAGCTTTGCCTGATGTTTCCCTGGTGAGCTCACTTCTGTGAGCGTGACTTCCTTGGCTAAGGATCCACGAGGGCTCTGTTTCCCGGTCACCGTGTTGGCGCAGTGATGGATGTGACATTTCTGAGTCTGTCCTCTCTGCCGCTCTGCCCTTCTGGAGCACTGTGGCAACAACTCTTACCCGCTGTCCCACAGGTCCTATCTCACTCCTCAGTATTTCTCAGCCGACTTCCACGCTCCCCAACAGCTCACATTTGAGCCTGGAATTTTCGTCTTCCTGTTGCCTCGCCTAGGTACAACTCAGTTCGTATTTACGTTTCTTCTATTTGCGCTGGTGAGGCTATTTTTCCTTTCAGATCAAAGTGATAGTCAAGTTGAGTAGCTCTGTTCTGCCTTTGCCACCTAATAGCACCGTTCTTTCTACTCCAAGAAGTAGGTTACTCTTGCTTGATCTGCCTGCTGTGAAGACAGCAGCAAATCGTCATTTGTTACTTTCATACTCCTTGTTTATTCAGGATGTGCCAGTCACGGGAGTGCTCAGAACATGAGTAGCTTTCGTGGCAGATTTTTGGCTGTGAGCTCTGCCCCAGCATGGGTGCCAGAACTTGGAACTTTTTAGTCACATTCCTGCCTCTTCCTGTCATGCTTTGCTCTGCCAAGGAGTGGCCTCATATTCAGTAATCAGTTTTCTGTCACCAGAAAGTAATCCCCACCCCAGACTTCTTTCTTAAGGATGTGTGGGAGAGCTCAGAGGTTTCCAGCTTAAAAGAGTTGCTTGACGTTTCCCCCAAAGGCAGTCTCCCTGTCCTGAAGAGAAGCTGTCAGCCTTTTCTGTCCCCTGCCTGCAGTCCTTAAAGACCATTTAATAGGCACTCACTGACCACCAGCTCTTGCCAAGGACATAGGGAGCAAAGGCAAAAATACTCCTGGTGGAGTCTGGCCTCCCGAGGGAGACAAGAGCAGTCAGGTGCCCACAGCAAGAGGTACTGCAGATCTGGCCTGTGCTGTAAAGAAGCAAAATGCAGTGCCATGATGGAGACCCTCTCACGGGAGTCCGTCTGGTCGGGGAAAGATGGAAGGTTTTCCTAAGGAAGTGACTCTTAGGGTCGCTAACAAGAAAGAACAGAGTGTCCAACACAAAAGGGGTGGCACATGCACATGCCCAGGGGCCGAAAGAAGCACAGTGAATTCAAGAGCTTGCAGGGGTG